ACAACAACAAACCAGGAGTGACAAACTGCTATTTCTCCTTCCTGAATGGGGCAAACCACAGCAACTGGGATGTGCCAGACCCAAAGGGATCAGTTTGGTTCTGGGTTTATTGAGCTTGCCAGGGAGAGCACAGCAGCTCCTGTCCATAGTGAGTCAGCAGAGAGCTCCTCCTGTGCAATATCCTGTCGTGATCCCTAGGAATACTCTGTTATTTATACCTTTATGACTCTCTAATATACCTTAGGCCACTCGTAAGTGCATTATTATACCAGGGATGTAACTGAAAAGTCAGGGAGATATAACTTATGAGATGACAGAAGAAACTGCTCCTGGGCAGTTTTACCACTGTCAGGTTAGTTTTTAATTGTAATTTAAACTATTTTTGGGGCTGTGTACAGACATTCTGCAAAGCATTTCTAGCTTGGTTTCCCTCCATGCTTACTCACTGCTAAGAGTTTAAGGCCAAGTAGATGACAATCACACCCAAATGAATTTGGTTCCTGATGTGTAATATCCAGATTGCTTCTTTTGTTTCATGCTCTGGGCTAGAGGTAAATTGGGGCAATAAATAGGATTATGTTATATATATATATATGTATTTATTGCCTATGAGGCTGCTCAGGTCCTGCTGCAGCTCAGTAACATCACCAGGAGCTTCTTTGGGCAGAAGCACGAAACAAAACCTGAGTGCACCATGTGAATAGTGTACTAGCTGCTCTTTGCATATAGTGGCAGAGACAAGAGTGTTCTGTTTGAGGAGGTAGATGGGAAAAGAGTCTCTTCTTTTAAAAATAAAAGTCTATTTTTAGATCTTTGGGAAAGTATTTTGACAATTGCTGTCTTGGCTCCAATGAGGTGTCAAGAACCACAGGAAGAAAAAGCTTATTTTCTTCTAGCATTTTGCTTTCTCTTAGAGGGTTTGTGTTCATTAGCCTCTTGTTGATTAGGCTTATTGGGAAGGGGGAAAAAAAGAGCAAAAAATACATTCCTTTTAAATTTGTCATTAAGAAGTTAAGAGTACAAAACAATTGCTGCTTCATTTCCACTCCATTGCTGCTCTTTCATGTGTGTTTAGTGTTTTGTCCCTGAAGAACATCAGATTTGATGTATCTGAAGCCTTTTCCTTCACTGTGAGCTACAGCAGATCCCAACAGGTTTTTCAGGGTCTAGGAGGCAAATAGCAGTTCCCACTTTTCCCCTCTCTCCACATTTAAGGAATAAAGCTGGAAATCACCAAGAAGAAGCTGTTAATCCACTGTTTTCATCAACAGCAGCTTAGGGGTTAGGCTAGAAAAAACACAAGAATCAAATTGGCTTTGTATAGTCGAATCAACAGAGCTTTGCTGGTTGATGCAAACTGAGGATCCAGACCATAACTTCAGGAGGAAAATAGATATATTTCCCTTTTGACTCAGTCTGAAGAGTTTTAGGAGATTGGCTGAGGGTAGGAGCCTCATCCTCCTCTCTGATATTGGTTATTATATCTCAAGGTCATTGTGAGAGTGATGATATCGATCAGCAAATATCAGGTTTGGCTTGTGATGTGGTTTTGGCTTTTAAAGAAGAACCTAAGCAGAGAGGAAATGGATTCTTTTTCCTTCCAAATATACCTGAAATGTTGATGGTACCAGACCTGCTGGTGGATGAATGAACACAAAACACACCACAAAGCAGTAGGTGTGATTGGCTGCAAACATATTCAATCTCTCCTCACTTCCTCCAACACATCTTCCCTGGGGAATACTCCTGACCCACACATGGTACACAGCAAACACAGCCAGTTCCTTTATTACTTCCCATTTGAATGTTTCCTCCTGTGACATCTCTTCAAACTTGCTGTTATCAATGGATACTTCTTTTCTTTTTCTCACTTCCAACCTGTTGTATCATCCTGTTTCCTCTGGGTTTTTTTTCTGTGTGAGCAGATTGTATTTATTTGAGAAAAAAAAACAAACCACAACTGTTTGCTGTTTAAAAGAACCAATAACTGTATTGCCAAAAATAGCTGTAATTACCTGTGACATCTGTATTTTTTTATTTTTGGGGGGGGAGTGTGGGAAGGGGTAGCTGGTTGTTTTTAATCTCAATTCCAAGTGCTAACAACTGGTAAAACAACCACTGCGTTTTAATTTGCTTCTGACATTAAATGGATTTCTTGGAAGTCAGACAAAAACGGCTCAGAGATGATTGAATAAAGATGCCAAGCACCTTCCTATGGAAATTTTCCTCTGGAGCATGGTGGAGTTTGAGCTACATTTGGCAGTGTTCAAGGCCAGGTTGGATAAAACCTTGAGCAACCTGCTCTGGTGGGAGGTGTCCCTGCCCAGGGCAGGGGTTGGGGCTGGATTATCTCTAAGCTCCATCCCAACCCCTAAAATTCTCAGATTCTTTGATTTGCCTTCCCTGCACTGAGGCTGAAATTCACTCCTTTGACAGCAGATGGCACAAAACCATCTCCAGTTTGGTTTTCCATGCAAGGGGATGGAGTTTTCCATCAGTCTCATCTGTGATAGCTTTTTTTCTCCCAGGTTTAGATGTGTGGAACTGGAAACACAACTGTTCAACCAAAGCACTGCTTCCTTTCACAACACATCACCTTTCTTCATGTGGATTCTTTAACCCAGCAACAATTTAATCAGCCAGAGAAACTCATTCCTTTCAAACCAACTCCATTAAACCTACAGCAGTTTCCCAGTAAAATTGGTGATATTACAATTAGCAAAAGCCATAGCTTTTATCAATCAAGTATGCACTAATAGAATGATGCACTTGGCTGCACCTGAAGGTCTAGTGCAAACTGGTTCTAATACATTACAAGTCAAGCATATAATGTGTTTATAATTAACCTCCTTGTCCACTTCTCTCTAACCCACATCCTGCAAGTGCACACAGGTTTTAGACCACAATTCTTATCTCAAACTCAGTTTATTTTGACAGGAATAGTCATTTACATTGACAATGGGGCAGTGGCAAAGAAGGGGCAGAGGAGGATCTGCCAAAGCCTCTTTGGACATCAGCACATGTTGCTACATCACCAAACAGACTTGGATAAATACAGTTTTTTACTGGTCATCACACCCTCAGGAGACACAAAAAGCTTTGCTAAGCCACAGATCACTCTTGAAGTAATCAGACCTGCAAGGGCACACAGGATTCTGCCACTGATCCCTCAGCCCCACACATCAGTGCTCAGCAAACCTTTCACAACCACCTCACCAACACTGTTCCCTCCCTGGAGAGCCACAAACCACACAGCAAATTCCCTTTCATGATGGGTTTCACCAGGATCTCTGCAAGCAGAGCCAAGCAAACCTCCTGGGACAAGAGCAGAGTGACACAAGGCCAGTTGTGTCCAGGGATTTAAACAGCACTGTTGGGTTTTCAAGCATCCTCATCAATGTCCATCAAATAAGCTCTGGTGCCTTCCCATCTTGGGGAATGAAATCCTGCAGCTGTAGCATCACTGCAGCAGGGTCAAACCAAACCTCTATTTCTCTTAACCTTATCTGCTCCCCCCCTGAGCATCTCTCCCCTGCACTGATGCTGAGCCAGGCAGAGCTGGAGTGGGTGCAAAGTGTCCCCAGTCCTGTCACCCACCAGTTCCATTTGAGGGACCCATGAGGTCACTGACATCTCAGCAGTCACCAACACATGGGAAATGTGAGGTGGGGGCAGAGTGGAACAGCAGGGCAGGAGAGGAGGTAGAGACCCTGGTGGTGATGAAGTCATGGCAAATGTGCTCCCCCCGTGCTGAAAAGGGACTTGCTGCACAGCAGCCCCAGCAGAGAGAGGAAGCCAACCCCGACCGCCTGCACCACAGCACAGCATGACTTTCACCAGGCTGCTGCACACCCTGGCTCTGGTCCTGATGCAAGGTAAGCCATGTGTGTTGCCTTATTCCACCTCCCCTTTGCATGCAGTGCAGCTTGGAGGGCTCTAATCCCAGGGGTCCAGCACAGTAGGCACAAGGCACCTTTGCTGTTGAGTTCTGGTTGATAATGTCATGTTGTCACCCCATTCCCAAAGGGCTCCTAAACCCACTATCAATGAGGTCAAGGAGTCAAGCAGCTGGTGGCAGTGAGATGGCAAAGCATTGGGAATTGAGAGATTCTCCCTTAAATTGGGACAGTGGATGACTGTTCACTTTCCATGGCTTGATACCCCTCTATGGCTTTGCTCATGCATTGTGTAAAGACAGGATAAGTCAGACTAATTTACAAAGCACTTGCAAAGTACTTTGAGAAAGAAAAGCACTTGAAATGCTCAATCTCCTTACTCCTGCTAGAGGAGGGAGCTTATACCTGCTTTGCTAATCTCCTGTCTTTCATGCACAGGAGAATGTGAGAGATTCCTATTTGACCGTGTCAAATAGGCAGATTTAAGCAAGGAAGGAGCAAGACAGTGATCCATGCCCAGGATTCTTGCAAGCTTCACTTTGCAGGAGAAATGAATGCATGATCCTAGGGCAGGCTGGAGTGACAGTCCCTTTCCCTTCTCAACAGATGCTGGAGCAAAAACCATAGCAGGGCAGTTGCTGACACTTTGCTAATACTCTCAGCATCTTCCACTCTTGAGACCACAACCTCTCTCCCCCTGTATTGCCACAGACTCCTTCCTGCCTGATGAATTTGTTCCTGCT